AGGTAATAAATATGCTGAGAGATAAGAAACCTCAACATGTTTTATTTCCTTATGGAGATGCGGATAATATAAAGCAATATTTATCAAATTCATTAATTACCTTGTATGAGTATTTAGACATTGTTAATATTTCAATTAATTCACAATTCGTTAGAACAGTTATGACGGAGGATGTGAGTTATTATTATTCCTTAGTTTGTACATTTAATATTATTCTAAAGAGAAATCAATAATTTCTTTGTTTAGCTTGCCTCAGTTATTGAACCAGTCAATTTTGGAAATGATTCGTTAATAGCATCCGTGGGTGGAACTTTAAGTATATACAATACGAAAACGTCATTGACGAAGGCAACAAGTTCATTAAATCGACAAAAATATATTTTTGGAGAATTTAATGTCGTAAAATTAATTAATGAATTAACCGAACAAGTAGTAAGTTTATGATATTAACGTCGTTGAGAGATTATTGAAAATAAGAGGGATACTGATTTTTTTTTTTAAAAAAAAAATAATTTTAGTATGGATGTAGAATTGGTTTCTTTCATGAAGATAAGAGAAATTCAAGTTATACAATTAGTTTAGTATCACCAAAAGCAACAATTTATTTGAACAAGGAAGATTTTAAAATTGTTACAACTGATAATCAAACTAGGGTTAAATTAACGGAGATTTTGTTTGAGCAATTAGTTGTGATATGAAAAGTTAACATATTTGGTTCTGTTGTAAATTTATAGGTTGAATAATAAAATTAGTTATTTGGAAGTTACAAAAGATAACCATTTCTTGTGGTTAAACCTGTGCTACATTCGATACTGGACCTGCCCGGAGTCGTTTCTAAAATTTTCCTTAAAATATATAATTTTCATTGAATCCTTATCTTTCATCCATTTACACACCATGATTCCTTAATAATTAATGTAACTATATAAAATAAAAATTTTATTATATTATAGAATTTTTTACATTACTCTTTATTTTTTTTTATAGTCAGGATTTTTTAAAAATGGATAAATATAGTAATATCATAAAAAGGAAATCAAAATGAAATTAATCCAAAACATAGCGCATGTGGTTGCGGAAAATCTCCGAAATTAAAATTATACGTAATTATTTATCCTAATTTAACTAAATAAAAAATCCTATAATTTTTGTGATTCTATATTATTATTTTTCTAGCAGGACTATGATAACATTATTCTTTTTTTATATCAGTACCTAGCAACTTATTTTAGCACAAACAAATATATTTTTAATAATGTTTTGTTTTAGAGGTTCTGAAGAAATGGATTTGCCATGCTTAATCAATTAATCTACTCGTGTTTCGTGTATTTCTTTGCCAAGGCGTTTAATTTTCCTGTTCGAATTAATCGTCGTTAAAATTTAAAGTAATTTTAATAGATTTTGATAATCAAATATCTGTGCGTTTAATAAAACGTTATCAGGATACCCACAACAGTTCTGGAATGGAGCATCCATATCATTATCTTTGCTCAAGTTCTAAAAATTTGTATATTTCGGGTACTGATTCGAATTTAAATTTCAAGCCTAAACGTAATAGTAAATTTCAGAAGAATAAGCCAGAACCTTTCTTGATAATATCAAATTATTAAACTATTTTAAATTCTTGCCGCAGTTTCGAACTATGATATTCAATGAAAATGCCGAAAAAAAAGAAATTTGCTAAATCTGTTACAAGGTGAATTATTCCGGCAGTTTCGAAATATTAATTGATTAAATTATAATTTGAACGATCCCAAAATCATATATGGTAAATAAATATCGGTTCGAATTGAACTCATTAGGCTATCTTGTCAAATAAAGAAATTAAACTTTGTCACTTAAATTCCGCATAGCCTTAAAAAGTCGGACCAAATAAATTAAACGTATATACATACCTCTTTTTATTACACCTCACGTTCAGAATTAAATTTGATGATTTAACTAGTTAAAAGAGCTCATTATCAATGAACGACGCCTACTTTAAAGAGAATTAGAAACAGTTTAGTTATAAGATCTTTGAAATAAGGTTGGTGATTGTTGTATTCTTATTATAATATTACATATTTCTGTTAACAATTTGATTCTTTTAATTACGTATAATAATTATTTTAATATTTGACAATCCATCTTTTACAATTATTCATATGAAGATATGAAGAATATATGTATATAATACCGCGCTTTTTAACGAATACAGCAAATCCATTAATATAATTCCTTATGGAATTAAAAATAGTTTTTTTTGGAAGAATAAGAAAATTTGAATACTAAGAAGTAATACGTCTTTATTAATACAAAATCGCGCAAATTTTTTCCGCCAACATTTCCACGTAATTTTTCGGAATATACATTTTAATTTATTCTAGACTAACCTTCTAACCCAACGCACAATATTGAAATCATAGATAAGTCCACAAACATATTTTAAAAATTAATAAAAATGTAAATTATAACATTTATCTATGATAGAAATGACGTGAAAATTTCCATATTTTATTAATAACGTTTAAATTTTTACGGTCGATCATGTCATGACATGAAAACTAATAAGGAAACTTAAATATGCTTAAGATGACACATTAATTTGTTTTTTTTGATCAGCTAATTATCAAAGATTATCTAAATCTGTATTAGATTTTGTTGTTGTGCCATTGTTTTTAAATACAAATATTATTACTAATCTTAATCTTATCATAATCATTTGATCCGATTTTTGATAGAAAACAGCATATAAATCATTGTCTTTGTTCTACTAAACATTTGCCAAAGGATAATTAAAACAATATTAAAAGGAGTATTGCTACAAATAGAAAAATATTAATTTCTTATTTGGAATTCTACAAATTTCGCACATGATGTCAATTATAAATCATATGATCAACGTTCCAAATATAAACATTAAATAATATAATATTCAGTTATTACTTTGTTTATTTTATTACAACAAATAAACTTAATTTAAAATTTCCTAATTTATAAAAGAATAAAGGAACAATGGAATAGTCGATTTCCAATCAAAATCAATTAGTTTTGGAAGTATTATATTTTAAAGTTTTACAGGATAATAATTTTGTTTCATGATTGAAAAATATTTTTGTTTTTCTGATTAATATAGCTCAAAAATTAAAATACATTATTTCGATCTGGAACATAATAAATTGAGAATCATGTGATTTTACTAGATTAAGTATGTATCTTTCCCAACTGGGTATTTTAACACTATATGCGTCAACTTTCTTGAAGTTGAATCACATTTCCAAGATTTATCTTCTGATAATTCACAATCTGACTTAAAATATTTGCTAGGCAGGACAAGGAAGAAAATAATGATTTCGTAATTTATGCCGGGATAATTTTTTGCTCGTACATCTTTTAAAATTATTAAAATTTTAATAAACAATTTAATTTATTTAATTTATTTATATTCCCAAAAATGATACTTGTCTCGCACAAGATTTTATTTTAATTGCAAAAAAAAACCGCAACGTTATAATTTCTAAAAATATAATATTAACACGCATGATTTTGGCTACTAAATCCCCATGCACTTATTTCAAATTGCCCAAACCTATACTGATTAAAAAGTTCTAATTTTAAATGAAATTTTTTTTTATCGGTTTATTTAAATTCTCTACCAATTTGCCACTCAATATGCTGCATATATTAGTGGATATGCAATTATGTAGTACATAGATTATTTAAGTTTCGGCTTTGCTTCAGATTATAAGTTCAGAAATCAATCATCAAATCAAATTTTAATGTTTATTTCACAGGCATTTTGAAGCGTTAATGGATTTTGGTATAACTATAAATAATAATGTAATATTACTCATATTACTCGAAAGAAAAAAAAGAGATTAATCTCTCTCCTCACCTCTTTCATAAACTATCTCTTAGGGAATGTAATGAATGGTACAAATTTTGGGCGAGAGAACTCATTATAGTAATGGAATTGACAATCAAAGCGCAATTATGAAAAAATTTTAAAATGTACATTATATAAAAAAATTTTTCAAAGCTCGAAATGTACTTTTGTCATTCATAAATTTGTACCCTTGAAACAAAATAAAACAAATAAATAATCTAAAAAAAAATTTTTTAGAGTCTGTGACTTGGTCGTTCGTTCGGAGTGTTTTTATCATTTTTATTATTCGATAATGGAAATTTCAACTCTTCCGTGAAAAAAAAAAATTTTTTTTTTTATACAAAACAAGCAAAAAAAAATATACATAACTACTAATGAAGGCGTTGATTTATATATAAAAAAAAGATCCCTGATTATACTTTTATCTATTTATTTATTTTTTAGAATTTTACTAAAAGAATACAAAGAAAGCAGGAGAAGTGTTTTAACAGCGATAATAAATAAACAAATAAATTAAATAAATTGAATAAATTATGATATTAATTATAAGATCATTCGGTTTTCCAAGTATATTTTAATATATCCCGATCATTCTCTTTTTAATAATAATAAATAAGTGATTAATCAATTAACCTTTGATTTATCTATTATTTATTTACACAGGATGGAATATTGAAATAATACTTACATTTTTGGTCTAATATTTAATTACTTTTAAATAAAAACGTAGAGTTTAATAAATCACTTCGCATTTAACCGTTTAAAAATTTCATATTACCGTAGAGAAAACTCAAGACGGCTGGCTGTTAAATGATCTTTTGCATTTACCCACGTGTTTGGTGACATATAATCGGACTTAAATAGCGTCGCCATGGAAAAATGGTTAGTATTAGGGGTTAGTATGAGGATAAGGCATTAAGTATAAGGAGATTATGGTTGGTATTTATCACATCCCGACTGTTCTTTTATTATTTAGTGTATGTGAACCGGCAAATAAATCCGGTCACCTTAAAACATTTAATCTTTGGCGATTCCTCCGAGGTCGATCGATATTTCCGGCTACCTTTTTCATAACTGTTCATAATGGGTGTGAAAAAAATACTTTTTAAATTAAAACATAGGGGAGAGATACTAGTGACAAATAATAGTAATGAATGGATAACGATTACGCGCAGTAAATTTTGTAAACATAAAAATTGGTTCATTGATTATATTGTTCGAAGTTCAACGTACTTGATAATATATAAACACCATTTTGTCATTTAAAAATATCTAAAAAGCAAGTCGTCTTTGTTATCCCTATAAATGATAATTTCGTATGCTTAACAGTAAGTATCAATGAAAGTATTTTAAAAATATAAATATAAATTAAAATTTATTTTTCTTCCGAGAAGAATTTCGTACATCAATGTTCCCATGACTATGTAAATTTTGAAAATTTATTCCAATTATAATTTCATCTTATCTTTTTCACAATAGAGATAACGATTAAAATTGTAAAGATATAATCATTCATTCATTCATTATGAATTTTGTGTTACAATTAATTTTAAGGTGTGAAAATTTTAATAAAGTTTCTATTTTAGAGCTCCATTCGGCTAAATTTTGAACTTGTGACGGACTTTTATTTTTATTTAATAATATACATGTACAGTACATTTATAAACTACAAAAAAAAAATTTTATTTTAAATAAGTTAAAATAAATTTTTATCATTAAAAATATCAATTTGTTTCAGCTAAGGCTAATTTTTTGCCAAAAATGTCACTAATAGTAACTGAACGCCGAAAGCGTCATTTTTTTTTTGCAAAAATGCAATGTCTGAAAAGGTCGGTTATTTTCATCATTTTTGACTGTCAGTGCATGTCAATTTTTAATAATGGATTATCCATGTATCTCCAGTGTTGCCAAATGACTTGGACGTGTCCGGTACGAAATCCCGAAAATCAAAATCCCCGAAACCTATTCATCACATACCTATTCAGCCATCAATTAATTTCAGAAGTTTATTTCGTACGAATCCCGACTTTGACATACTATCATTAATGACTATTGTATATGGATGGATGATCTTGTAAGGTGATTTTAATAGACGATCATATGTATGTCGTAAAGTCAACTGGCATTATTAATAAATTGCCTTATTTTGGTTATTTGGTTATATTTAGTAAAGCTAAATGGTAAGAAAGATGTTTTTCATATTTTTCATTAGCCAACCCAATAACCTGAGAAAATTATGTAATAAATGCTTCCCCTATCACAATTTCTTTCAATACAAATTAAATTTGTTCTGTTTTATTTGATATTGAAGTATCTTTTTTCCTGATAACATAAAAGCTTAAAGACCAACTATTTTTGAATAAACCAATTGTGCTATTGCTTTATTTTGGATTTTAAAGAATTCTAAATCATTAAAACCTAATTAACCTAATTAAAATTTTTTTAAATATTAAAATTTTTAAATTTTTTCTTATCTATACAATTATATGTAATAATATAAAAATTTTAATATATATAAATCATAATTTTTAGCTTTTATAAAAGTTATAAAGATATCAAATAGATAGCCTTTGAATCATAGTTGATATTATATTTTGCATTAATAAATGTAATTATATGAAGATATAAAGTTTAATCCTATATAAAATGATTATTTAAAACAATACAATGCTTTGATCTAAGGTTTATTCAATCTAATATAGCAAATGTTAATATGAAATTATTAAAGAGAACTTAAATGTATATTGGCATAGTAAAAGATATTTATTACCATAACTTAGTGCATTAGCATTAAAATATATATGGTTACCAGTAGCTTTTCTAGCTATAAATCAATTTTTCAGATAGAAGGGTGGCACTTAAAATAGAAAGCATTCAAATGCTTAATTTTCTTTACATTGATCTAAATGGTAATATTGATTAATGAATATAATAATTATTTTTGGATGGTTAATTGTTATCTTTTATATTTTACATTTATTTTGCGATGATTGGTCAATTTGCTAAAAATTTATAGTCGCAATAAAAATCGTAAAATCACGTGCGATTTTTGGGCTATTCCCTAACAATTACCTCAATATCAGGAGGTCGTAATCTTAGGAGCTTCATTGACTTTTTTTCAGAAATGTATAAAGAGGTCACTGCAACTTGTCAGGTTGGCGAAGACGATGGCCGACCATTTCAAAAATAATTCTTCTGGACCTAATAAAATATATTTTTCTTAATTTTAAAAGTCGTGTTTAATAAAATGATTAATTGAATAGTATTTTTTATAGTAACTTGAATTAATCAAATATTTGACTCGATTACAAGATTCAAATACCCTTCTGAGTTTAATTCACGAATCACGAGTCCCGATCGCGAAAAAAGAATCTCATCATCTGACTAAGTTTTTAACATTATGTAAGATATAATAGAACAGTTAGTGCAAATTAATCTTATGGTGCTATGAGTTTCCGTCGATTTGTTTATTTAAAATTTATTTGTACGAGATAAATTTGCTTTCCGATAAAAAATAATATCCAATTTTAAAAAATTAAAATATTGTTTATGTTAATGTTAAATTTCTTTTAAATTTAGCATACAAAGTAAATTTTATTTATTATTTTTGTTAGTAGTTTCTTCCTTTTTCTACTGAAAAACGAGAACGGCAAATGAATCCACAACCTAAAAAGATCTCAGACAAAGTGGGTTGACATTTGATTTAATTCACATGCCCGAGGCATTTACCTATCTTACGTAAAATCATGTGAGGAGTGGAACGCGTACCTAATTAAATATATATAATCACGTGCCTGAGCTTTTTTCTAATGAATTATGAAGATAAAAACGTTTAATAAATGTTTTTATCCAAAATAACTTGTGAAAATATGATGACAAACATTACCCGATTTCACAAAATAGATTACGGAAACGTGACTTTAAGTTTCTTGGTAATATCCCTAATCTTTATCTAATCATAATCCTAAATATCTAAACCTAGTTAATATAAGTCACATGATATCGGCAATACTATTTTTTTCAGGGCAACGCTAAGTTTTTTTTCTAATAGGTTATCGCAAATGACCCCGGAATATTGAAAATTAATATGCACGGTAAGCAGAAAAAGCTTTTGGTCGGATCAGCCAAAAGTTCTAATTTTTAAAAAATTTTGTGATCACACATAATAAAATAATTTTACCAATATAAATAATAATAACAGACATATATTAAAATATATTATATTATAGCCTTACTTTAAATGAGTTTGCAAAATTAACAAACAAACAAATTTGAGTTTATTTTTTTCTAAAATAGACAGATTGTGTTTTATAAGAATATATTATATCTGTTTTAAGAAAAATTTAATATTTAAAAAAACTTTAATTATTCCCGAGAAGGCTAATAAGTTCATCATTATGTACACGGATTCTTTTTTCCACCATTTTTTGATTCAGTATAAAATAAATTTCTATAGTGTTACTGTAAATAAAAAATTTTTTCTTGATAAAAAAAAAGTTTTTTTATAGAACTCACGTGGAGATTATTAAAATTTTCACCGCAGTATAATAATTGTTTTTGCGGGTAATTTGTTTCAACAACATTAATTTTTTAATTCTTAGAGGATTATAACATTGACACATTTTATTAAGATTTTAGGTATTTAAATAACATACGAGCTTTCCTTGAATACTTGATAATAAGAAATTTATTTGTTTCATCAAATTCTAACTTTTTATTTAACATATTAACATGTTTCGTAAAAGTAAGAATACTAACTAGTAGCAAATAACATTTATCTTGAAGATTATTTGACAATACTGTAATTAATAAGACAAAATATTCAAAATCGTGTATTTATAAAGCGAGTGCATTTACAGAGAGCAATATAATAATTAAAGATCACATAACAAGTGTTTGGTTATATATTGAGAATGCATTTGTCCGAAAGTTGACTAAATTTTGTGGTAATTTTGTAAAAACATACTTGCTAAATTTGGTAACATAAAGTTTATCTAAAGTATAAATACACACGCCATGTATTAAAATATGGGAAGGTTGCTAGGAAAACTAAAATTTTTGTTAAAAATTCTCAGACCCAGCAAAATTCCCATATACTGAGTCACAATTCATGTACTCCTTTGTATAAACTCAACCTTTTAAATATTAACCTATGACTGAATTTTCGGTTATTAAATTAAGAATATTAATAAGAACTCTTGTTATAAATATTATAAACAGATTCTTTCACAAAAGATTTTGTTTTTTATAAAAGAAAAGCCATTTCTTTTACGAGCATTTTTCAGGGAAACAAAGATAAAATAAACCACATTGAAGAAATAATTTTTGTTTATTCTTTTCTTTTTTTGGCGAAAACTGAAAAACTGTATAATTTTGAATGTCACATATAGTAAGTTGAAGGTCAAAACTTTTACTCAAAAATCCTTTATATTAATCAAAATTGTAATTCTAGTTCCGTGTTATCAATGAAATCAATCATCTTGAGATGCTAATCACTTTGTTTAATTTCCCAATTTTGAAGACCACAGCTCCGAGTCAGTTCTGAGTCAATTTCATTGTGAAATATCCAATTTGAGAATATGTGAATGACTTCATTTATAGATAGGACAAATATTTTCGTGATACTTGCACAAAATAGAAAAAATCTGATTTAACACTTTTTATAAAAAGGAAAGGAAGGCCACCTTGACTTCAAAAAAAAATAATATCTTCATACTCATCAAATAAACATACATCATTTGATTATTATACTTGCTCTCCACATTAAAAGCGTTCAATATTTCGTCGTATTCACAGAACATAGGAAGAATATCTTGTAAAAAAAATTCTTTTTCTAAATTTCATTAATTACAGATGAGTTCCATAGTCAAGTCAAATTTTCGTTATTTCCAAAACCTTGAAGATGAAATTAAAATAATCATCTTTAAATATGCCGAAAGTCCTATTGACTTAGCTTTAACTTGCCGAAGATGGTCTGATATTGCCAAAGATCCCTATGCAAAAACAGAATGGTTAATTGCACATTTCGGAAAAGCTCACGCAATGTTCCATGCTGTTAGGTTAGGACCCACTTTTATTGATGTAGAAGTTTGCCAAAATTTATTTGCGAGAAAAGTTATAATATCAAGATATTTTATCCAAAGATTGTTGATGCATTTTGGTAGATATGATCAAAAATTGATAGAATTAAAAATTGAGCATAATATCGGACAATTGGATGCCGACAGAATTCGCACTTTTCAAAAAACAATTGTGTCACCATGGGCAAGCACCTTGCCTATCTTTGTGTTTACATATTTATTAGAAGAAGGGTTTAAACATTTAGCAAATGAAATGCCTTTAAAAGGGAATGACATGGAGTTGTTCCACTTTCTTTCTGCAGGACCACACGTGATAAATTATGCACCCGGAATGTTGAGAAAAAACTTGAAAAATATCGAAAAATTGATTTTAGATCATAAATTTACCCCTTTCCCGCCTAGACCAAAATTACAATTAAACTCAAATACTGATCCTCACATCCATCAACCACCTATTCCAGAAGAATACCCTCCAAAAGATGGTTATGAAAATAACAGACAACTTAATGTGATTGCGAGGGCGATCCTTATTCACCCAGATCTAGTCAACTTATGGATAGAAATTGGATATAAAGACATATGTAATGATGTCAATGACCTTGTTATGCAAGGAGCTCTTCTCATTCTTTTTCCACCAACCCCAGCATCTGACTGGCATTGTCCCACCGTATCTATAGTAATTTCACGCCTTGAAGAGCTTATAAAATTGGGCTTTCAACTGAAAGATATTGTTATTGTTGACGCGCTTCATATGTTCGAACACCGATTGGATGAAATTGGAAATATTCTTTGGAATGCATTTCGTGCAATCCTTTCGAGTGAATCAATGGAATCTCTTGCATACAAGTTTTTCAAAGAAGCTTTAAAACCTGAAAGAAACTTGAAGAAAGATGAATTGTTAAATTTTCTCAAATCAAAATTTGATTATCATGAAAGAATTGTAAAGGAAGTTGTTAAAGACTATTTTATCAAAGAGAAGATGTCCGATATTACGAAAAGAAGAAAATCCCTTATACTGTCACAGAAGGTTTATCAGTACATTCTAAACACTTATGGTAATAAATCTGAGTTGACTTTAATGTGCTTTGAAGATATTCTTACATTAAGAATATTTATAGATACTGAACACGAGTCAGAATTATCAGAATGTACATATGATTCTATTAAATCGACTTTTGATTTATATAACAAAGCAAGTGTGCCATATAAACCAGCACAATTAGATTTATTAAAACAAGCAACAAATTTTGAAATCATTCGACCTTTTTTTGATGACTTTCTTCCTACTATCTTTGGATTTAAATCTAAACCTAAGAAGAAGAGAAAAAAATTGGATGATTTAGCATTACTTTGGGTGGAACAACTTGAACACATTAATTCTCAGAATTACATAGGAATACCAACTACTTTAAAAGATCTTTTTATGAATTTTTATAAAAGATTGGAAAATGAGGAAATTATTATAAAATATCACATTCAAGGTGATATATATCGTCAACATAAAAAACAGAAACAAAATAACATAAATGTAAATTTTAATAATATGTATTATTAATAAATAAGCTTATTTACACAGGTAAGTAAAAAAAAAATTATAAATACAGCTATTATGCGTTAAATCAAAAAATTTTTGTAAATACAAAAAGAAATATCTTTGCTGTATTAATTAAGATTCATAATTTAAAATTAAATCCGATTTATAAAATTAGCTTTTAGGAATTTTTTTTCTTTTATCTTTATACTTTATACTGTATATTAATTATATCAAGTTAAATAAAATGCCTTAAAAATATTCCCACGCCTTATTGCCACGTTAACATTGTTCTTGAAAATCATTTATAAAAAAAAAATTTGAGGGGGATTACGTATCGTATATTTGGTCGGAAGGTAATAATAAATTTGAAGTTATGACGTAATGGTGATATACTCACTTATATCAAAAATTATATATATAATAAATTATATTCATATGATGTAAAAAAATAAAAAAAATATCTTGATCATATGTTTCCAGGAATGTGCTGTTTCAGATTTATTGTAATAATTTATTTTGAAAAAGATTCCAACCTTTAGATTCGATTCAGATGATTAGCCAATTATTTAATAATAAATATCTTTGATAACTATTTTTTACACACTCTTCGACACTAACCTGTTTAGAATCCGGTTGAAATTAGAACCTCTCAAAGATATTGGAAACAATAATTTGTTTTTTTGTCTTTGATCAATGACCAAATATGATTAACAAATACATGGATCTAATAATCCTTTTTTTTTTTTTTAGAAAATAATGTGTTCGTGATTAATAGGAGGTGGGTTTAATGTTTATAATACATTTTTTTAGTAACAGAAATTTATTTCCTAGAATGGTCTTGGCAAAACACTTTAGTTCTAAAGAGCACAATATTTGATCTGGTTTTGGTTGTTCATTTGTCATGTTTATAGAATGAATGAATAGCCACAAAAAAAAATTTATTTTTATTTATACATATAATACGTAAATAAAGGAAAAAAACTTGTTTAAACTAGAATAACGGATCACATTGATAAATATACAATAAATAAAAAAATATAACTTTGAAAGAAAAAAGGTAAGTTCATTAACTTTGAATTTATACAGTACATAAAACGAAGTTCAATTGCATTTATTCATTTCAAAATAAGATCAAAAGAAACTACTTTTGGACTTTAGCTTTGTATTCCAATGTTAAAAATGAAAAATTTGCCGATGATATCCGGAATGACATTTCCTGATGTATTATAATTAGTCATAGAACTTTTGAAAAAAATTTTCGTTAAAGACCGAGAATTCATTAAAAAATCATAGGGATAGGCCGGACCACAAAAAAAAAGTCATTACTGTTAAAAGAGTTGAACGCCTTTCCGCAACTGTATTTATCACGTGTTATTTATGTTATTTTCACTATAATATAATTTTAAGCGGTATTGGTTGTTAATGCGAATACTGTAAAATTATGTCGTGGTAATATTCAGATTTCTTTTTATGTTTATCAAATGACGTTATATTCAAAATAAAATGCATGATTAGTAAATAATTTAACCTAAAAAAAGTACCCTGTTTATTTTTTTGTTAAAATGTTACACTGCACTGCTATAAGTGATCGGCGTTGTTCCAACTATATATAGTAATCGTAATTAACGATCATTGTGCCACTTACAAATGTGGTGGTATCATAATATTTTGCGATAAAGAACACAAAATTTCCGAAGCCTATTTATTTCCTTGGGATTCTAAATGGTTAAATGGCATTTAAGAACTAGAATGTGAATTAATAGATATGATAAAAAAGATTAACGTAAGCGACGAAAGTTCCATATATATATATATATTAAGAAAAAAAAAATAATCAAAAATGCCGTATATATATATATATATATATATATGTATTAATTATTTTTTTTAATATTTATGCAAAAAATTTTAACGATACCAATTTTGATAAAATAAACATTATAACCATTTGTAAAAAATGTATACCTAAATATTTGTTAATATCTTACCACATGATTTGTCAATGCATCAAATGGTGTACAATTTCAATCAATTAAATCAATGATTATTAATATCATTCGTATTGATGCGGTATTGTTCAACGAATTTATTTGAATGGAGGCAATATTGGTCTTCGACCGACACAAGTTTTTCCACATCCAATAAACATAATAAATTAATAAAGTTGGTCGAGTAATGATTCTATAAGTTTAAAGATCCTCATCATATAAAAATTTCTTTTAAGTTAAAAGCGTAAAATCAATCATTGATAAATTTGAATACATAATCGGACGATATTCATTAATACATTTCCTTAACGCAGAAATTTATCGTATTTCGTCACTCTATCTAATGGTTCGCGAATGACAAATATGTATCTCATATAGCTGTGTAAATGAATAAATAATTAGCTCCTTAATCCTAAAGAAACGGTATATAAATAAAAATTTTTTCAGGGGATGCAATAATTTGATTGCTAATCCCTTTCAAACCTTCTCAAAGAAATTTTAAATAGTAATCATAAAAGGTTACGAGTTTAATAATTTCATTTATAAAAGCTCTTTATAAAGTAAACAAGCAAATTCTACTTAAAGTAAATAAGGAACTCTATGTAAAAATAACATCATTAAACGAGCTAATAAGCTAAATCGACATGACCCTCAGCCACACTGACTGCGGAGTGATGATGTCGATACTCTTAGATTTTTTATCTAGTCCTCAACTGTGAAAATAAAAAAAATTTTTTCTTCGAAATATTGAAAGCAATAAAAATTTTAGAATTCCAAAAAAAACATAACAAATAATAATGCAAATACAAAAAAAATCAAAGGATTTAAAATTTCAGAAACCAAAAAATTACCTAATTAAATCCTCAGTTTTTTTTTTTTGTAACACAAAAATCTAATTCGGACCATCTATTAAAAATCAGTTAAAAGTATTTGTGGACTCTAATTATAAATACTAAATTTACAAATCATCACCAACTATCGTTATTACATATCGAAACTAATTAAAAAAAAATTTTTTTCACACTGAACACAATAAAAAACCATATTTTATAGTAATGGATCATAGGATTGTACAATATTACATCATAACAAAAAAATTTTTTAGTGTGCAAAAAAAATCAATGAAAAAAAAATTTTCACTGGCTGTAAAAAAAAAGGAATTGTGTTGCATAATATATACATAATCGAAGGAATTTCAACGGAATTTTTTTGCAATAATATTAAATCGGATCCTTTATTTCCGTTGGAAAAAAATTTACGCGATATTGTCCCAATGAGTGCTTTTAAATGTAAAGATTCATAGAGACATTCTATTATTCATGTGATGATGGGCAAAATGATACCTTCGTCGCTTTATCTAATCAAAACGCCAACGGATTTGCTTTTTATTTCCTTTTGAAAGTTTTTTTTTTTATGTGCTATTTAGGTTAATCCCGTTATGTAAAAAAAAATTTTTTCTTTCAGTGAGAATTAATGTTATACGTGTTTTAAACTGATTTCTTTCTGTATGATATATAAATACTACAAAGAAAGAGATAATTATTATATCTGATCTTTTTTTTTTCATATTAACAAAGATAAATTAAAATTATTGGGCATTTTTCAATATTTCCTTTAATCAAGCCTTTTTAGGCCTACGGATTTAAAAATCACGATCGTTCAGCCCTTCTTTGTATTCTTACCATTTGTTTCGCATGAAAAATTTGTTGTTAAATATCAAGATATTAATAATACAATTATGGTTGCTATTTCAAATGAGAGCCGCGACTCAGTCGACGGCTGAGTCGACTAAAAAGGTCCAACGACTGACTGAGCCAACTCCAGAATTTGTCACGGCTGGTATAATTATTTTAGAATTATTATTCTGACTCATATATCAATTTATTTCGTATCTAGTAGAAAATGTTAACATCATGTTATAATGTTATAAAACAACACTTATTATGATTACTACAATATGAAATAATATAAAGAGTAGAAATTTTAATAATGACAATTAAAGTTAGAGACTTTTAGCAAAAATTAACTATCAGCTCTATAACTGCAGATAGCAGATATTGGTAACTTTTACTTCATTTCCATATTTAATGAGTTAGTTAAACTAATAACGGATTACTTAATGTATAAATTATAAAGAAATTTTATTGTATTGTTTCAAAGACACAATAGTTAGTGATTTCAATTGTCTAAGTTTTAAAACGTTTTAATTGGAATGCACACAATCATGATATTATTTTTTTTTTATGAAAGAAAAAAAGGAAACTAAATATTTTTATAACAACCTACCACATTAACTTTTCGCGTAAAAAATCAACAGGCGATCATTTCAGGTGAATGTCGGGTTGAATTAGTCATGCCAACTTTTTGTCCAATAATTTTTTTGGAGCTCACATTAAACCACAAAGAAATAAGCAAGCATTAAACAAATATAGTTATGAGAAATAATTAATTATATGGGTGTGTTTCTAGCAAAATCAAGGATGGGGAACAATTTTATCTGATACCAATATCTATTCTATTATTATAATATTTAACTAGCAGTTTTTTAAAAAAAAATATTTAAGTGTGTAACTCTATGAAGTAGTACAAAGGGATACATAATCCATCCAGTCATCCAGTAAATATTGCAGATTTAAACTTTACTTTATTTACTTATAAATTAAGATTTTAGTTTCACATATCATGAAATGAAAAAGAGATTTAAATCGAATATGAGAATTGTTCTTATTTGTTGTTAATGACGTTACTCTATAAAGTAAATAAAGAAGACAGACCATAAACTATATTTCTATGAAAGAAAAAAGGAAATTTCTTTGTTTTATTTTATTGAACATGAAAACTTTTTTTATATATTCCGATTTTTTTTTATTTATTCACACATAAACTATAAGAGAACTTGTTTAATAAACTTTGTTTATGATAAATGTATTTTAAAAAAAAAAGTGCATAATGACTTTGTACTATTACATTTTTATTCGAGAACATTATCAATATTTGGGGCGTAATATGGCAAATTTAAATGGGTAAAAATAA